GGATGTTTTCATTGCATTAAAACATTTCTTTTTTTGAAAAAGAAATTCAAGTTTATTGGTGTTTGAACACTGAATGAAAGGAATTTACTGTCAGATTACATTCATTGTTTTTCAGATTAAATCTATAGAAATGTCAACCGAAATGAATTCCATTTGGACTCGGTAAAAAAAATAAGTGCATTGCATTTTAAATTTTGTAGTCAGTTCAGCGATATCTATCAAAAGTAGGCATTTTATTAAGTAAATGGCTCCAGCTATTCCAATAGTGAAAGAACTTCCCGAGGAGCTAAAGTCTATTATAGATTGGAGGCAACTGGTAGTGTTGTGAGTTTCTTCCCCAAAACCAAGTTCTGAATGGCTTTTGCTTGCAGCTTTTGTCTTGGGATGTTTTATCTTCTTGTTCATTTGATTTTCCAGGTGACAGAAGGAAGGCTGGATATAAAACATTATTTGTTCAAAGATAACTCTCAAACATTTGTCATTGATTACTCATATCTTTGGCATTTCTGGTACTCGAACCCGGGACCTTAAGGAATAACAACAATTTATTTACCACCGAAATCAATTGATTCGTGCTTTTCTTGTGAATTTGAGAAGCGTCCAAAATATTGTTTTATATTGAGACGACTGTTTTACTTGTTTCAAGTTACCATCCCCTGCCATGCTCAGATCAGTCCATTAACACCAGAAGCAGCAGTACTTATGCTTTGCTTGCTGCTCTACGTTTCAACAGTAAGACTCAAGATTAGCTCTAGTTACCTAAGAGAATTTGCTTTCATCCGCATAACTTGTACCATTTATGAACTCATCATCTCAGGTAACGAAGTGGCATACACACACCTACCTCTTTTTTTATGAAAAGTGTAGGCTTTTCCCATATTGCTTCGACTCTTCATTTTTCTTGAAGCACTCGTGTCCAACACATGGATAGGCTTCAACTGTACATACTTGTGTTTGACACTCACACTTGAATCCGAGTACGGTAACATAGGGTTTGCCATTTTTGCATTTATGTACTGTTGGCTCTTTTGCTGCTGATCTTTCCCGAGGGCATTACTTTGGGATTCCCTCTTTTCATCATGCACAAGTTGCTGATGCTGGTTATATAAGTTCGATATTTGGAAATTATTCTACTAAAACAGCATTTTGAAACCAGACAAATGGTTTTATATGCTCTTCATGATGTTGGATACTATCATCCTTGGTACGAGTACAATTACATATAATAATTACCTTTCATCTGTAGCTGGCAGCACTGGACTTATTGCCTGCACTGCAGTTGATTCATTTGCCGTGACGGACTCAGGTAGCCAGTTGCCGCCTCTGGTGTCTGGTTTTTTGAATATACTATGGTGGAGGGAGGATGCCTACAATACGTCCAAATAAGCGGAGATCAGCTGATATCTTCTTAAAGAACAGTACTAGAGTGGAAAGTGTCTGAGCAGAGAACGAGGATGGCAGTTGGGCAAACTAAACACATCCAGAGTAGGCCCAAGGGTAGAAGTGTTTGCCGGTATCCACGGTGTAAAGAGTGTATGTATCGTGCATATTGCCATATTTCCCTTCTAAAGCTGGGCAAACATGCAATAAAACTTGTAGTCAGAAGAATAATTGCTGCTGCTGCTTCTGTTAGAAGTAAATATAATGCTGTTGGCGATAGAGGTTGTAACTTATAAGGCTGGGTGCATTCCTTGAAACAAATATAATTTCAGCACCACCTGGGTCATCCTACATTAGCTTTGCAAATAATTGGATTTGAGTGAGATGAAAATGCGTAAACAAGATCTTGTGTTATGGATAAAAAGGCAAGATATGTAAGATGTTGTAGCGTAAATATCAGTTCAACATCAGAGAAACTACAGATGAATCCTCCTGCACAGACTTAATCTCCTTAACCTACCACAGGCACAAATGTCTCCACGCCAACACATTCGTTACAAACAGCCACAAGTTTTGGATAAAACACAACTTCTACCCTATACAACTCACACAACAGCAGCCAACAAGCTAAATCTGCAAAAGGAATCTCTCCCCTCATACAACAAAAAATTTATCTCTTTTGTCGTTTGGCCTCCACCTGGAAAAGAACACAAAAATGAGAAATCAAAGCACAACCTCGAAAAACAAACAATTGTTTCGTAAGCAAAGAATTCAGATAAAGGGACTTTCCTCTATCCGAGGTGACATTTTTATATCTAAACACTCGCTCTAAAATTCATATCTAGCACAAGAAAATAACCTAAACCTCCCTATATGCTGTTCCACAATCCCAATTAGCAAAATAAAAAGAGCACCTGTTAATTTGTTAGGTAAAAATGTTTGGGTACATGTTGGTAACAGCAATCATGGACTTGACCACCAAAATCACAGTTAATCTTAAAAATGTAATGACAAGGAATTACATATGCAGACTGCTGGATAAAGAAATAAATCCAATCAACAATCACAGAGTTGGATGTATAAAATATGACAACTATATTTCATGAGATATGGTAGGCGCTCAAACCTGATTCGGCCTCATGGCAATTCTCAGAAATATAAGAACTTGCATCTAAGGGTAAAGCATGTTTCCCAACTAAATTAACTTTCTATCCATTTATCATCAATTGTAACACAGACAAAAAACATTAACTGAAGGGTTTCAAGTGACTTTAGCGTGTGTATATATGCTATACAAGTCATTATTATTATTAGCAGAGGATGAGAAAGTCTCTTCAATCCGCTTAAATTCATAAACAAATTTCCTAGAAGGATACCAAAAACAGATCTGGTAAATTGTATATGAGAGGACTTGGTTTAGTAAATATATAAAGGCTTAAAGAAGAAAGAGAACACTGACCAAGCATCATGTGGATTTCGCCTAAAGAGATATTACCGTTGTATCAGATACTGGTGGTGGATGAAACCCGTTCTGTGATCTTTTGACATCATCCTCAGCACATTCAGAGCAAATGAAGTGATCCAACATTTTTGCTTCTTCAATTGTCATGCTCACACAAGCAGGATGGTACCTATAGGAATGGTACTGAAAACATTAAATATATCTTAAAAATTATTGAGCCATTGGCAACAGGAAATTATAAAAGGAAATATAGAATACCATACCAGTCCTTGCATCCGTCACATTGGACCATGAGATCATCAGGGTTGTATGGCATCTCGCATTTGCAGTACCTTCGAAACAGAAAAAACCCAGGGGCACCAAAGATTCAATACCAAAATGCCAACAAGTAAACTAAAAGCCATGTTTCATAAGCCAACAGATCATGGTACTCACACAGCAACTCGATCAGGTGTAAAGGCTCCAGTAGCAGCTTTATACTCGAACCTACAATAGTAATCCTCAGCCCCAACATCCTCCAGCTTAGTGTAGTTCTTGAAAGAATGAACAATGCACTTTCCTTCAATGGTATGAGCACTCTGCGCATCATAGTGGTCTGACAAAAACAGCTCCTTTGCTCCATGGAACTGCCTCCTTCCTCCAAGCGACTCCTCAGGACGATAATACCACCGTACTCGAACCTTCACATTGTTCCTGATATCTGCTTCCATTTTCTCAACTCGTGCCACATACGGAGGCTTACCACTGTCGGAAGGACGCATCAGAACACAATCACCAACTGCAAGAAAATAAAAATCAAACTTTCAGACTCAGTCATCACAATCTACAATTTCTTAACATCTATATACGCCAGTAAAACACACCATTTGTATATACATTGGTGTTAAAATGATAATGCATATTCAACCCCTTCTGCAAACAAACTCGCATATTTCAACACGAATATTTATATACGAGTCCAATAAACACAGCAAAGAGTAAAACCCGACAGCAAAGCAACCAAGCATTCACTTCTTAATCATCAAAACTAATGCTAGATGACATGTTCGAAAATTTTAAAATTGAAAACACGAAATGCCGAGATCCGAAAATTCCCAAAAAAACGATTTTCTAAATAACCAAATCCGCAATTTTTAACGGCATACACGTATTCGTGGGCGTACATATCTACAAGAAGAACACGGTACCTCTGACAACTTTGTTTGTGCCTCTGATGGTGTAAGAGTCGATGTCCTTCGTCCCTTGTTTGGGCCTGGTACCAGAAACCCCAGGTCTTGTTTTTGCCATGGAAGCTACGGTCTAGGGGAGGAAAGTTTAAATCTTTTTCTTCGAAAGAGTGAAAATAGAAATCTTTGAAGAAATAAGGGGGGAATGGAAGAAAGATTGACAAAACCCTAAGCTTCCCTCGTGGAAGAGGAAGAGTGGAGACAACTCATACAAGAAGAAAGTAGTACGGTGGAGACAATACAGTTAAGTACTGGAGTAACAGTCATTTTAATTTAGGTTGAACTAGCAGATAGTCCTGTCGCTAACACTTTTTTCTTTTATTTTGTTATCATCACAAAAATGTTATAAAACCATCGATCGATTAAAAAAATAAATAAATCGTTTAATTATGAAAATAATTCTATTCTAATTAGCGAACAAGTTTTGTATCGTTTAAATTATTAATGTATTTTGATATCAACAAAATTATTAAATATTAAATATGCGTTAATCATAAGGATAAATCACAGTTTAAAATTTATACAGTAACATATCAATTCTTATTATTTATACATTTTATTAATTAGAATCTAATTTTAAATAATTTGATAAATTTAATTCATTCTATTGATACAATTTAAACGCATAATTCTCAATCTTATTCTGAGAATAAAGGTTTGAGGTTAAAAAACATCTCCTTTTATAAAAGAACCTTTCAAAGCTTAAACGTCTTTCATTTTCCTAGACAATCTGAAGTACAAAGATCAAAGCTGAACATGTTTGATGCAAAAGCGCATTCAGCCATGCATTTGAACATTTTTTTATAAAAGTTGGAGGTCTCGTTAAAAAAAACTCCTTCATGCTTTTAGAATACTGTCAAGTATCCGAAAAGTTGCAGAAGGAGGAACATAGTACCTCGAATTTTATTATCATCTTAAATCCATACAAGAAGTTGAAGTACAATATCGTCCTTTAAACTCTCCTAATAAGAACATGACCACATTCAAACAATGTTCAAAAAAGACCCCCTTCATGCATTTAAACTCTCCTAATAAGTACAAGTTCGTCTGCTTTCGCGTTAACACTCCTTCTAACACAACGAAGTACGACTACCCTTTCCTTAACAATTTTTGCAATGCCTCTAACCAATTCCATAAAGGGTAGCGGACATAGTATAGGATCTTTTATACACCCTACTGCTATCCTGCTGTAGCTCTCCACAATCAAACTGTTCCTCTTGCTAACTGCCATGCATTTGAACATATCAGTTCATAGATAAGACACAAATCGTTTGAGATTTCTCTTTTATCTCCCAAGCTGCTTTGGGCAAAATAAAGGGCTTCCTATTCGAAGAGAAAACTAAAGGACCAATTGATGGGATTCTTGTTTAACGGTTGATTGGAATGTGCATTTGCTCAACAATCCTGTTAACAGCATCGCGGGACATCACTAATGTGTCATGCTGCAAGATGCTGTACACATTCAAGCCCTGCAAAAACATACACAACAGTCTCAACATTAAAACAAAATGTAAAACCTAATCAAGAAAAATATCTTACAAGTCAACTTCGGAAATATATCATTAAAGCAGTCAATGATCATGATGACAGAAAATGAAAAGTTAATAATATTGTGTTACCATGTAACTAATGACGAAGGCAAGCCAATAGTTCGACTATATTTTGCTAATAATTGGAGACATTGTAATATTACAGCTAGCACTATACTTACAATTGATGGCAATACATTGACATAATGTAGATTTTGTGTAGCTAGCTTCAAATTTTCATTTATGGGGCCACCATCCAGCAGCAGAAATTTCTTGGCATTCTCCATTTGGTTCACATAGTTAACTATATTTTTGGTTTTGTGTGTAGGGACCTCCAAATCCTCAAAGACAAGAAGCTGCTCAATTGTGCAATAGTCATTGGTTAGGATTCAAAACTCAATTAGCATTGAAAATCCTTGTTCAGCATTTATAAATCAGTAAAATTGCACTGTGAAATGCAAAAGAGTACAAAGAATCTATACACATGCCAGATAATAATGACTTACCTTTCCTTCAGCAGCACGAGCAGACAGTGCAATCTTCAGTCCAAGACGTCTAACCTTCTTATTCAATTTAAAAGCATGACTTCCAGGTTTGGGGCCATGCATAGTAGCACCACCTCGAAACTATTATCAATCCATAAAATCAATTAAAAGGCCATTGAATTAGTTGTTTAGCTCTAAAACTTCTTAAATTCAAAGAAAAGAAAAGGAGTCACCTGGGGACCCTGCAGTGTTCCATGCCTGGCTCGCCCAGTACCCTTCTGTCGCCAGGGCTTCCTACCAGTCCCACTAACCTCACTAATAGTTTTTGTTGAATGTGTTCCCTGTCAACCATTCAATTATCACTGATATTCATGATTAGCATATTTTGATTGCACAAGAGAGAACTGTTTAATGCAATTTATGTGGAAAAAAGGAACTAGTATTAAGCTGAAAAACAATACGATCATAGTCTAGTAAAATTTCAGATTAACATCAAGAGAATCCTAAAACTGTGTGCTTCCAGTATCCATAAAGAAGGATGAAATGGCACCTGTTGTCGTTTTGCAAGTTGCCATCGTACAACACGGTGGATAATATCCTTTCTAATAGGTACATCAAAAACATCACCAGCCAAAACCATGAAGCCACGATCTTCATTATGAAAATTTGTCACGGGAACTACAAGGTCCTCATAAAATCCTGCACCATAAATGGTATATTTAATCCAAAAGAACACTCCTCATTTAAACTACAAAATACCATTGGCCCATTCCTGCGATTATTGAAATGCTTAAAAGCTGAACTCAGTATAACCAAAACAAGATACAAAATGGAATGCGATATAAAACCCACAGTGGGGTCACATGTTGGCAAATGTCAATGTCAAGATGATTTCTGGAGGCAAGTTTTAGCACAAAAACAACTAATAAAGTGGCTTGGAAACATTAACCTGCCTTCATCTTTGATATCTTTATATCTTTTAGAAAGCCAAAGAAAATCCCAGAGTTACCCATGAGTACATATTGCCTTCAAACACTAATATGCATCCATATTATGACTATTAAAATTTTTAAAGGCATATAGCTACACAAGAAACGTGGTTTAATATTCCCATACCATTAGTGCACTCTGGTATTAGTACGGTCTTTGAAGAGAGTAAATCAGACGGAAAAGCACCTCCGTTCGAATCAGGAGTCAAAATTCTAGTTGAAAACCTTCGAAAACCAAGGAAAGATGGACCACCCTACATCAAATAAAATGTAGCATGGACGAATAAAATACAAAGGAAGGCCATGGTAGAGGAGAAAACAAAAGGCAGGTGCATGAACAAGTAAAATAGCTATACCAAAACATAAAGAGATTAGAAGGGGTGCTAAGATTGAAACAAACAATACAGAATCTTATGATGTCTATAATTGGTATTGTGGAAGTGGCACCTCCACTGGTTGCAGAAACAAAAAACCTATTGTAAGTATCCTTATTGAATACTTCTAAACTATAAATGAAGGATAATGACAATAACTAACCCATTAACCTAGAGAGGCCCCCAATACACTTTCCAAGAATTGATTCAAACCCTAATGGATAGGTATACTTATTGAATACTTCTAAACTAAAGGATAATGACAATATCGAACCCATTAACCTAGATAACCCCCATCCCCTTTCCAAGAATTGATCAAAACCTAAGGGATCCATAAATTTGTGTATAGTGTATAGTGTATTTAAAAAGTAAACAAAGTGAAAACATACCTTGGAAAGGCTAAAATGTTGCGCAAGAGGCAAGTTATCCCCAGTAATACGACCACTCAATTCTACTCAGACAGAATAAAAAGAAGCAACGTACCAGGTTAGCATTACAGTCACATATAAGCAGCAAAGAAACAATGTTGACATGTTAGTATATTACTCTTACCAGAAGTTTTAAATGAACGAGCTGCGACAGTTGGAGATGCGCGTAAGCTCAAGGCAGACAGTGAACCAAAAGAACGTGCAATCCTTCTCGAGATTGACAAAGCCATACTCTGAATAACCAGGTACTAGTTCAATAGCATCAAGACAAATTCACCTGCTCAACAAGACAAAGTCGCCTGCTCATCTACACTCCAAACTTACGATTGAAGTCCACAGCTTTAGCTAAGAATCATAAATGTACCTATAAAGTCTGTTTAAATCAAAGGTTTGCATCGAACACTGTGACAGCAAAGTATTTGATAAAATTCCACAATAAAGAAACTGGGAATAAGAAAATAAATGCACCCAACAAAGGTGTTTCCCTGAAACCGTATTGAGCTAAAAACAAAACCTACACGGTGCACATATCAATATAGCTGCTAATCAGATCATAACTACTTCAAGATTAACAACAAACAATTCTTAATTTAATATATGAACGAAAAAAGCAAATGAGATCTGAAAAGGGAAGGTACAATGAGGATGGAAGCGGCGGGAACCCGGACGCTGAAACGAAACCGGAGAACGTTGACGTTGTACCGTCGCGGTTGAGGGAGCCGATTTTAAGAGAATGGAGGCAAAAGTGTGGGGATAAAGCCAGACGTAATGAAAATGAACAACCTCACCTCGCCACTTTCCGGTATTATTACTGTTTGGGCCAAAAGGGATTTGAGGTTAGGGCTTCAATTGGATGCCCGAACGACATGATCTCGGCTTCAAATGTTTGCGTTTATGTATATATATGATTATTATGCAGTACATTAGGGATAAAATCTTTTAGTTTTACCAATTACTATTGTTTTCGTTGATATAGAGAAAAAGAAAGACAAGTTATCCAAAAATAATCTCAAAATTTATTGTCAATCAGAATTTAAACTATATTCCTTACCATTTATGACAAATTTAAATAATAACTCTATTAATATAATTAAAATTATTATTTTTCTTGTATATTTATTTAAAATTTATAAAAATATGAGAAATTTTTTTTATTTCAATTAAGAAATCTTAAAACACTAAAAAATAATCGATGTGAATATGTCTGCCTATAATCTTCTCAATAAGTTGGATGATACTACACAATTTGGGTGATAGAGTTGACATAATAAATGTTTATTTGACCGTTGTCAATTCGATTAAGAAATCTGCAACGAAATTAAAGTTAAGGTGGAGTCGTCGGCATCTTTTACACAAACATATGCCTAATGCACCTTTTATTCTATTAGTGGGTTTTCTCCTCTCTTTTCACGCCAAGACTCTTATACCCCTAGATTGTACTCTTTCTCTCACCGGTATTGAATGTCGAGGGAAAGATAAAAATATACATGTTGGTCTCAGTTCCGACTGACCCTTTCCCTTCGTTATTAGAGCTTGCACGAAAATGGTGAGTTTAAGAAAGAACATGTCTATGTATTATATTCTACTCATCATCCTGTCACTGACTGAATAAAAAGTGCTATAATGATGGTTATTAGATTAAGAGATAATTAAGGAAAAGAAAGAAAGAACTAGGGGATTCAAACAATTCGATCCATAAACAACCATAAAAGAACTTGCTTTCGAGTGTTATTGTAGCGGCTCATGACCGTTTTAAGTAAATGGAACTACAATAAATACCTGTAGAGAGAGAAGTATGCCAGTCCGGCCTGAATTACGACGGAATTGGTAAGGCTTGCCTGCTCTATGGTATGGATTGGATCAGTAAGAAGTTTGGGAGGAAAACCATTATCCGAAATTGATAGTTTGTGCGCTTGCAGGTCTAGAAGCATTGATGAAGGAACGGATGTCATCAACAGTGCGGTGGGGATTGAAGCGGGTTAGCCAACCTAAGCTGAACTGAGGTTGATGGTAAACTTTCGTCCTGAAGAAGTGTTTGGAGCTGAGTTGAGATGACTGAAACTGAGAGTTGACTCAGCAGATTCTGAACTGCTGTTGCTACCGAGAGTTCTTTTCAACACCCTGAAATGCTACCAGACGTTTCTTCTCTGGTTCCTGCTAGGAGAAAAATATTGGAGTTATATCCTTCATGGACTTCAACCTTCTGGAAAAAAATATAATGTTCACAAGAGCAAGAGACTCACAGGGAATTTCTCGTCCCTCTTTATCAGATTGACATGAACACGGAACCTTCTATCAGCAGGCTCAAGCTCTGATGCAATCAAGTTGTTAATAAACAAGAAACAGCATTCTGAAACATAAAAAATATTTCTTTCATAAAAGAATCGAACACCTGTTTGCAAGGTGCACAAAATGGAAAAGAAAAGAATGTGCAAGGCTAACTGTAGTCATACAGCTGAGTACTCAATCCAACAGAGGGACAGAGATATTCCACCTTCAATAACATCTGTCACTATCTATCATTACATAAAAAGAGGTGTTCAATCCTACTAGTCATTACCTCAAAAAAACGGTGCATTCTCAGGATCATCCAACCTTCTCAGAGGGCCATCATCTACCATTGGTCCAGAAAACTATGTTGTGAATAACAGAATCAGGTTGCTGAGGTGCAGATGGTACGGTTTCCCCTGAGAGTAATCTACCAGTTCCAGCAAAACTTGTTGAACCTGATGATGGTCCTTCTACGGCTCCCAGTTGCTTAGCTTGATTGAAAATCCCATCTACATTTTCCTTTAGCATGTCATCAACTCATCATAATACATTCAACTGCAGGGTTGGTAATGAACACACTGAGAAAACTTTGAGATAAATAATGAAAATGGCTTCATCAATGATATTGAATGAACATCCTGCGTTTATAAATCAACCTGCTCCTGGACCGCACATCAGATGTGCAGGTCAAAAACAGCTCTAACTAAACAGAAACTAAATCCAAACATCCAACACTACACAGTAAATACATTCCAATTCTATCAAATATGAAAAGCAATTATAAAGCGTTTAATGTACAACAAACAACATAAACTTTTGAATGAAGACCGATCAATATCGTCTAAAGATCTCTTCATTCCAATTCTGCTTTATGATTTGACACTTGGTATTTTCTTTGCTGCAACTAAAACCAGATCTTTTCATGTGCACTTGAGTTATACGGTGTAGCAGCCTAACATAAGACTAAGGAAATGTATAACCTAAAATGTTATGTTTTTCTTACTTTTTTTCAGTTGCAAATATACTTCGTAACATTTTAGATTGTGCCTTTCATTAGCCTTATATTAAGTTGTTGCACCATACAATTACCTTATACTATATAATTGTCGCCGCCTGGATTCTATTTTCAATCGTCAAACCAAAGAACAAGTAACTGATTCGGTCCATATCACCTGGCCTCAATCCACGACTTTTCCATGAAAACCGGGCTTTTGCACTTAGTTTAACTAAATGAACAGCATCAGTTTCGGCCCAAACTTTGCTTTTTGCCCCCTCCCCCACGCGGGGTGGTTTGGGGTTGTTTATTATGATAGTAAATGAAACGAGACATATTGCGAGCTATTCGAGATCGATTCGATCAAAGCTCGATAAATATTCGGTTCGAATGTACTCGAGCTCGAGCTCGACTCGAGTTCTTAACGAGCCGAAAAAAGCTACTTGATATTCGACTTGAAAAGCTCGTGAGAAGCTCGAAAATATAATATATTAAGATTTTATTTTTTTTAAAAATTTATTAATAATATTAATATTTATGTATTAATTTTTTAAAATATTGTAAGATTTTTATGTATTTAAGGTTCAGGTTTTAGTTTGAGGCTTCAATCGAGTTAAGTTTAAGATTTTTTTTTCATTTCGAGCCGCTCACGAGCTTCAATTTAGGATTTCGAGTTCGATTCGAACTTGAAAATTTTAAGCTCGCGAGTTTTCGAGTCGAGTCGAGCTCAGCAATACTCGAGCTCGACTCGGCTCATTTACACCCCCTATTGCTTACTGTGCCACGTTTGTATTTCACCCTCAACCAAGTTTTTCAAAGCGATGATGATATGATGGTGCATTTCATTAAGAGTGGATGCCCTGTTTTCTTTTGAATCTGATACGTGATCCAACCTTGTGCTGGGGCCTGGGACGGTTTCCGTAAGAATTAATGCACAAAAACCGTCTGCTTTCTATGCCTTTCAAATCTCAATAAATTGCAACAAACAATTGGGAATATAACGAACCAAATTGCTAAGCCATTCGCTGATGCCTGTAACACGATTATGATATGGGGCCAGCACAGCTGAACACCGTGTATTTCTTTACTTAAAAATGAAAACAGCATTTACAATCCTATTACCTGCCAAGTATCATTTACGGTGACTCCAATCGCTTTGTAGATTTCAGATCCATTCATTCATTTCTTTTAAACAAGTAGCTGATCTATGTTTACACTAGATTGTAGGCAGAATAACAGAATGATAAACAAGAAAATTACTGTGTATAAAACATTCAACTTAATAGAAAAATAAGGGTTAATAATGATTAACACACTTAATAAACTTTTTTAGTGAAAAGACTTCGCAAATTAAAAAAATTATTACCGCTTCCAACGTTTCCATGGCTGCCGCCACTTCGGTTGGTACGGTTACCGGAAATTGCGGCACTATTATCGTCCATTCCACAATTCAAATGATGCTTATACCCGATGCACGTTGGCACGTTCAAATTCAAAACTTTGCCTTTGTTATTATTGTTGCCACCGTTCCCAGTTTTACCGCGACGAGTTTCGGTAACTTCCTTTTTACCGCTACTCTTGTCAACGGTCCGAGCCAAAGAATCGAAGTTCTTAACAGCGGAACCACTACGACGAACCTGCCAAACCGGGCTGCTTCGCCCCAAGTGAACGCCAGCCCTACTGGGACTACTCGGCCATTTTCTAGATTTGGATTCACCGGCTGAGTTGCTACGAGAACATGGAGCGCTACTTACTTTCCGGGCACCCGCCGCGGAGGTGGTCATTCTGGGCCGGGTCCTGCTCGTACCTGCGGATGTACTCCTTGAAAAAGGCCAGATATTTATATTCAACTCAGCCGGACTCCCTCCGCTTTGATTCTGAGTCTTCTTTTCTTTCTTCCTCTCTTTCTCTGAATCCTTGTCTTGTTGGATTTTGGCTCCGATCTTACCCTTTTCTTTCTTGAAAATATCTCTCCACCGCTTCGAAGCTGATAAGACAGGAACCGGCTCAGATGCTATAAGAGGGCTAGGTTCAGGCTCTGGGCCGAGTACAGATGTTTCTGGTGCGGGTGGGTTCTGATTGGTTTGTGGGTTTTCTTTAGGTTGATTGTTGGGTAAGGGATGGAGAGGACGGAGAACGCCATTAACGAAGAGTTCATCGGCAGATATGAGGTCAGGCGGAGGAAATGACGGATTCCGGACCATCCAAAACTCGAATTCGGGTGAACTTGAATGGCTGCTGCATGGTGATAGATTTTTCGATTCTTTGCTTACAGTTGTTTGGCTCTCCATTTTTCTTCGATAAAAGCGAATGGAAGTTTAAGAGGAAAAAAGAGAGAATTTATTATGTTATTTTAGAAGGAAGGCGAGATTTTGTATTGTAGTGACTGACCGCAAATAGGTGTTTTAATCCATAAATAACTCAAATATTGTAATATTATCAGTCAGATATTATCTCAAATATTACCAATTTAGCACGGCTAAATCTACGAGATAATTTGTTGAAATTATTTATTTCACGAGATAACGTTCTCCCAAGATTAATTGTTGAAGTAGGGCGAATTGCACAGTGTTGACCGTAG